TTCCATGGAACATATTCTACCAAAAAATAACATTTTCTTTACGATGATGTATACTTCTACAGAAAACCAACCAATCAAGGACGTGCACATATCTGTTCTTGTTCTTACATTAAAACCTTGGATTGATTTGACAATGAAGTTTTGTGCTTTTTTTAACATGTAAATTTCATTTTGCTTTAATTGCCACAATTCACACCCATACAGTGCTGAGGGATATACTTTACACTTAACATTTTTTGCAGTGGTTAAAGGATTAAGAGCACATGGATGTGCTCCAGAACGAATTAAGGACATAACACCACTCTTTAATTTCGAACAAGCACGTTCTGTACGTTCGACGTTGTAGAAAAAATTGCAAATTATTATAATTTGATTAATCGATGCGTTATTCTGTGTCTACTTACCTCGTCGTTCGTCCAAAATCTTTTCACATAACAAGTAAAGGTTATTTTCTGAAATACAGCCTGAAAAGAACAATAATTATTCAGATTCATTCTAAGTTAAATTAAGAAATGAAATGATAACATTAAAGAACATTTAAGATAATTTAGATAATATAATTAAGAAATACATCAACTACTTCACAGTAGGCTGTCGAAAACATCAAATACTTCACTCCCGACTAGAATTACAATATAGTGTACTACTGACAGTCTTAACTGGACGAATTGATAATGCAAGGTGCAGTAAGTGTTTTCTCTTTGTTTGGTTTTCACATTGATATACAAAGTTTATATATGGCTTCCTTGCTTCATATTTCTAGTTATTATACCGTTAGCAAACATACCATCATGACTTACCTCTACTCTGACTACTTCTTGTCGCGTGACCATTATGTGCATACTCTTCTGCAAGGGTCTCTAACGGAATAGTACTTTCCAGTGGTGCGGTGTAATCCTGGTCAAGCTCAATAGTTCAGTAACCTCAAGCTTGGTCTGTGGCTGAATTGATTGTGACCCGCCCGCTTGTTACATTTGGTGGCAGCGTTGGGATTTTGAGTTACCTAGTAAGACCAGTTAGAGAAGGTGCATTGGTACACAGGGAGGACCCATGTGATTCCAAAGATTAAGTATCGGAACGCGCCATTTCTCAGGGAGTGATGTTAGGGGGAAATTCTGCCTTACGGGGAGGCTAGCCTTTCCAGCGATGCAGTATAACCCTATGACGCACTCCTCAGTTCAGCATCGTCTGGCTTGGCCAGTGGCTGGTTTGGTGCCCGCCTAAATCCTATGCAGTTGTGGAGGGTGGATGGATGATATATAGTGTAGGAGCATTACATGAGATGAAAAAGGTCAGAAATACACTCACCAAAGCTATCGAGCTGTCACCAACAGTGCAGAGTTGACACAACGTGCAAGTTTTGCAACCACAAACCTTTGGAAACGAAACAACATATCTTAGCTAAGTTACCAATCTTCTCTAAGCAAAAGAGTGATCTGATCATCACCCACAACCAACTTACAGATCACTAACATAACGTTTCCCGAAGTGGTGCGCCACCCTGATCAGTACATGACCAGGAAACGATTAAAAAGGTTTTTTTTATTTAACAATATAGATATTTTATTTTGATTCAGTGACGACTTTTTAGGAGGCTTGGTGATTTCAAATTAATCATGTCAGAAACCAAGACATACGTCGATAATACTTTGACGGATTTTAAAGAGGAAAATTATAGGCATATTGAAATTTTGGTTTCAAGTCCTTGTAAACAGATAATGAATATGCGAAAACGCATGATAACTGAAGTTCAGTGTTATATTCATATAAAAAATTATTTTGTCAAATTGCACACCTTTTTAATAGAAATATACAACAGTTTGTAACATGTGATAAAGTGTACAATTTTGAACGTTTACCATCGCTTTCGCATCGAGTATTTTGTTCCATGTTTGTGAAAACAATAATATACAACATTTAATATACAACATTTATATAGCGCCCTATATGATTTGTATAATTACTCTAAAGCGCTTTACAACATATGGATAATAGTATTAGTTATAATTGTGAAACAAAAACAAAGGCTTACAATAATCATCGCAATTTGCACATAAATGAATAAATAACGGGTGGTATTTGCATGACGTTTCTGCAAATAGCCTAAATTGCAGACGTGAAGAGGTAAGTTTGTATGTCCTTCTTGAATTTGGCCAGGGTATTTCCGAAACCCTCCCAAAGCCGGTTTCCATAGATCACAGTACGAGATTTTGGGACACGCAACAGGGATTCTGACTCCGACCGCAGTGATCGTGACAGCTGATACAGGGTAACAAGCTCCTGTAGGTACTGGGCAGCTGTTCCATTCAGTGCCTTGTATGTGTACACCAAAATTGTGTACTGCGACCTGTATCGTACAGGTAGCCAGTGCAATGAATATAGCACAGGCGTGATGTGCTCTCTCTTCCGAGTACGAGTAACCAGCCGTGCTGCAGTGTTCTGGACCTTCTGCAGACGACTAGTTTGTCAGATATACCACAGAGCAAATTACGTATACACCAAGAACGCACACTTTTAAATGTCAAAATTGTACATATTTGAGAAGCAGCAAGTGATGAGCTGAAACACAGGTGATCTTTGGTTCATGACATCCGAACGTGTCTTATACCTTCAAAGTGATGGGTGAACTAAAGGTAGACAACAATGCGTGGATTGTACTAATAGCATACATCACAGCAGAGAATATAGATCTTGGCTAACTAATTAATCTCTGTTTTTATCAAAATCGTGAGTTAAGCAGTTACAGAGAGGAGGAATGAAGGAACAATTGTTCGTGAATAATTTAACTAACACAACGTACCCTTATAACCTTTGTTTTGTCCCCAATGATAGTAGATGATTATTTGTCTATTACTTTTATGACCCGATACATTTGAAATTTTAGAAATTTAGACGTATGTGCAACATACATCTGTTACCTTCAAGTAAAGGGTATCAACATTTTAAACTACAGTATTACCAATGTCACTGTTGTCAAATATGTAAGACATTTTAAAAGAAATCATGAAAGTAACGTATTGCCAAGGTATTTGACAGAAGTCTTTTTTTTAAATTCAAATATTTGAAAATGAAAATAAAAAGATGAAAAATGGACATTACAATTGACTTACTCTCTATCAATGTTGCCTTACCGGAATTATACAAATACAACATCAACAGGAGTGTCCAGCTGATGGGCCACGAACCATATGAAGATAGGGAAAGTTACTCTTAGGCAGAAATTCCAAGAAAAAAACTATAGTGGAAGTCTTCTTCGCGAACAAAATTGATGCAGTGGTAGCCTTTACCTTAAATTCTGCATAATCCAGTTATTTTATACATTGTGTACGTGAATCTAAAAAAAAATGAAAAAAAATATTCAAAATGCATTAATAAGAAAAAGTAAAAAATTGAAATAAAACACAAATAATTGTCGTTCAAAAATCCTTTTTCATTGTTTTCACAAGTAAAATAATGACAAATTACAATATATATGTATATATATATTTATAATTGTTTATTTTTCAAAGATTTTACATAAACAATTTTGACATAAATATAGCATATTCAAACACATACAAAACAAACAAAAACACATTGTTTTCTTCTAAGTCATCATCATCATCAACTTTTTACATTCCTTTATTGCTATTAAAGAAAACAACAGATACTGACATACACACAATCTACACAGACATAGACAGGTAGAGAGATAGAGAGACAGACACACAGACAGACAGTCAGAAAGATAGAGATGAGGCAAGTTCAACTACTTTTATCCATTTTCGCCATTCATTAGTAAACTTATTGAGATATTTTCCCCCTTTACCATAAGCAATATATTTCTGAACATTGTAATATTCTTTAATCAAATTTACCAGAGCCATAACATTAAGTGTGCTGTGCAAACACTTAGTTTTGTATATATAATGCTTAATAAAAAGAATAATTTCATTGTCAATTCTATTATAAATTCCTGCTTGCTCGATACATCCAAAAATAATATTTTCTTTATTTATTGAAAAGGGAATAGCAAGTGCATTTAAGAGATTTTCAAATTTGTCAAAGAGGTTTGTATTTGAGTGCACTCCCATAGGATATGAATAATTGTCTCCCTTTCCATAAAACATAAAACACACAGATGGTTATTTATTAGTCCAATCTTTTTTTTTCAAGTAAAGGGTATCAACATGTTAAACTACATTATTACCAATCTCACTGTTGTCAAATATGTAAGACCTTTTAAAAGAAATCATGAAAGTAACGTATTGCCAAGGTATTTGACGAAGTCTTTTTTTTAAATTCAAATATTTGAAAATGAAAAAAAAAAGATGAAAAATTTACTTTACAATTGATTTACTCTCTTTCAATGTTGCCATATCGGAATTTTACAAATACAACATCAACAGGAGTGTCCAGCTGATGGGCCACGGACCATATGAAGATAGGGGAAGTTACTCTTAGGCAGAAATTCCAAGAAAAAAACTACAGTGGAAGTAAGTCTTCTTCGCGAACAAAATTGATGCAGTGGGTCCAGTTATTTTATACATTGTGTGCGTGAATTTAAAAAAAATGATAAAACTATTCAAAATGCATTAATAAAAAAAAAATGAAAAATTGAAATAAAACACATATAATTGTTGTTCAAAAATCCTTTTTCATTGTTTTCACAAGTAAAATAATGACAAATTACAAATAATTCATGTATGCGTAAATATTCATAAAACGTTACGGAAGAGTAACCGGCTGAGTTCAGCTTATTGTTCGTGTTAAAAAAAAATTATAAGAAATTTTGGCAGTAAATCACGTATGTGTTGCAAGTAATTTGCATATAAATGTGCTATGAATATTTGATTCAGAGAGATAATAAATTATATTTATTGTACTCGAGTATAAATCAGTTTTACTTTATCTATTTTCGTGTGACTGACTGTTCCGGGCACTCCCTAACTTGACACCACATTTTTTATGAGTTATCCCCCTTGTGACCCGAAGATGGTTACTCTGATTGGCCAGTGACCTCGCGGTCAAAGGATAGCAAGCACTGGATTATGGAATATGGCGGACCGCTTGAATCCAATACGTCTTTGTTCCTGAGGAGCTAGCAAACCCTGTTTCTCATCGACGGCAAAATGTAAATTTGGCATGATTGAAAAGCTGGTATATGGTGGATAACAATACACTACAACACTGTACAGAAACGTAGCAAGTCAAGCGTAAACAAAAGCATGTTTATGTTGTAAACTGCATCTTTTCGTCAGCTGTTTAGCATGTCAGTGTCAAGTTACCACGTGCTTATCAGTTTTGAATATCGATTATTTTCAGTTGTTTACTAAACAAATATTTCAGCGTTTATGTGTTCATATAGATTTGAATCCTGACTATATGCTGCTTAAATCGTAAATAATTATGCCGACGGTCACACTCCAGTTCGACGTTGTTAACGGGTTGACATCTGACACCGTCTTCATACAATAATATAATTCATAAAAAAAATCACAAGATTACTCGCCATAACTTATCATTTAAAAGATTACACTGACACATTCTAATTTAATGTCAAAACAAAAGATTATACACGGAAGTTTATTTATAGATTTCAATGTTCTCTTAGTTTTGAAATAGGTGGTTGACATGGAAAGAATTTAACCGACAAAATATTCACATGCTGTATGGCAAACATATTTTTAAAAAAAACCCACTAAAAATATACGTTGGCAAATAGCAGAATAGTCCTGTCAGCAACCAGCTTTTCATGAAAACACAGAGATCTGTAAAAACCTTTAATATTTGTCAAAATGTCATTGAACAATTCTTGAATGGTTAATTAGTGACATTGTTACCTTTCACTCAGCCACTTTACCTTTCTGATTCTGCTCATCTCCTATATGTCATATTTAAAATGAAAAATGTTCAGATTTTGTATCGGTCAAACTGAATTTTGAGGCCCCCCCCTTTCTCACCATGCCCATGTAATTTTAATACATAAATGTTCACCTCATAAAGAAAGGTTCTGCAATGAACACATGTTTTTCATTTATTGCTTGCTATTATCACACTTAAATTCATATTTACCAAATCACAAAGGCCAGCTCTAGGATTAACAAAGGAATATCATGATTACTTGTCACCAGAATTATGAATTGGCAGTCCAGTCCACGTAAACTTGATTCAGCTTTTGCAGTACTGAAAAAGCCATCACGATGCTTCCTCCTCATTGTCTTACGTTGAATTTGTTAGTTTTTTTACCAGATAGAATGGACATTTCCTTAGGTCTAGCAGAGTTCATGGAGTCTCCAATGAAGATAACTGAAGCCTGTGTCATATCGGACATATGATTGTGGCACCCTGTTAATTTGGATTGTTTTTAGGATTTATATTTATTATCGCTCGTTGTGTTATGTCTGTGTTGTTCGTATCCCACGTCGTGTTAGTGTGTGTCTGTTGGCCTGATATGCGTACGGTGCTCGTTGTGTGAATGTTGCGTTATGCGTATCTTACACCGTGTGTTAGGTAATTGCCCGTTGTGTGTTTTGTATGTGCGGTTCGTGAGTGTCCGGAGAGTGTTCGTATGACGTATGTAGGTATAAAACAGGTTTGACCACTGACGGACAGTACAGGACATGCGCGTTGCGTTTTCCTTTTCTCTCTTTTGTACTTTTGCCGCCGTTTGGTAGTTCTTCTTTGACCATCTATCAGAGAGGTTGTATTTTTCACAAAGATGTAGATCTAATCTATATTTATTTATTCACGTCCTGGGCACCACATGCCAAGTAAGTTTAACATTATTATTTATTTATTTGTTATCATTACATTAAGATGCGATCGGTAATTTTACTTATAATTGTAACTGATTGGTAGATAATGTTCGTCGTGATATTTCCTGTGGTCTATTTGTACTTTGTCAGTTATATATAAACGATAATAGAATATATGTATGGGATCGAATCTATGTAAATGTATTCGATGAGTTATTTTAAAGTACGCGCTATTGTTGTATAGTTGGGCGCGTTAGTTTCGGTACTGTGTATTGAATATAGCTATTTATTTTTTGTAGGGACTTTTGTCTATATTCTCATCATTAAACACATCTATGAAGAGAGAATCTTGTGTCGGTCGTTATTACGCCAAGACCCTCCCCTAAAATCCGACTACGTTACATGATCACAATAGCAGGGATTTGAGTTAGTCTACAGTATTACCCTATATTCCAGATAGCTGATTCCTTTATTATGTACATATTTAAAGAACGTCCAAAAAGTGTTGAGGAATGTTATCATTCATATGGCAAGTATTTATCACGGTATTGTAATCCGTAAGGTTTTGCACTTTTGAATTGGCCATAAATATACAGTAGACTAAACTCCAATTTTATTATTTTGTTGTAGATTTATTCATCTGTAAATTCAAGCATGAAATGATTAATAAAATTTTATTGAACACATATACATATAATTATAACCATACTTTTAAAAATATATAAAAAACCCACAGATATTCATTGAATAGTCTTTAAATATCGTTGCTATACGTATACATAGATGTGTTGTCACACAGGGAGACGCATCATGTTAACGTCACTGTAACCATGACAATCTGCTATATATATATATATAAATAATACTTAAGTGTTGTCTGCTTATGTAAATGTAAAAATGAACTGATATTTAAAGTAAAAGTCTTTGTTTATATGTCGGGGACTAAATACTGCAATATAATGTAAGTCTTACAGATTTGACTTTGAGGATACTTCATTTTTTTGTGTTTGCTAAATATTACAAAGTCCCTACATTCTGTCAGATTTATAAAATAATATGTGCATGAGATTGATGATTAAATGATATATTCAACAGATTATTTAAAAATGTACTGCATTATATGTAACTTAATTGTAAGAAATCTTTGACCCTGTGTCAATTTTTGATTTTAATGATAATGCTCTTAGCTTAATGAAGTCCATTGTCATTCATGTATTCTGTATTCTTAATGGTATAAATCTGTAAAATTTGTTATGTTTTGATTCTTAAATGCAAACTTTTAATTTTATACTAGTTTTCAATTTGGAAATCAGAGCTATTTCTTGCACATACCTTTTCAACATTATAAAACAGACATAATTTTATATACATTGTGGCAAGATGTCACTGTTTATATTATAAATCCATATCACACGAAGGTATTAGGCTGTGATTAATGTTTCAGGTTGAATTTAATGACTCAAAAAAGATTATAAATCGTTCCATAATAGATTGAACACTGTTTTATTTACAGATTCTGTCCATGAGGCTATCCTGTTTGTAACCCTATTTCACCAGGAGTTATCTCCCATGGAATAAGTAAGTACACAAGTATTATAATAATAGAATACTGAAAATCATTGACACCAGAAACTTTTAATCTATTAGCCACATCCTTTTCAACATAAAAAGAATGAAGAAGATTTATGATAAAATTGTTTTAGGTACTGTATAAAAATGTATTTTCATGGAAATCATTAAATTGAATCAAGTTTTCTCTGTACACTTAATCAGCAAGTTCAACATAAAAACACTTATTTCCCCATGAGAAACACTCAAAACAGCAAATTTGTTATTGCAAATATTTGTAGTTTTTGAATGTCAATGAGAAATGACACTACACTAAATCAATCTGTAAACATGCATGTGGAGAGAGTATATCAGTTTGTAGACAAACCTTACTTGCTTGATTGGTGAATCTACATTCTTAAAAGGACCTGCAATGCAATGCTTGTTTTGAAATGTAATTGCTATATTTAGTCCACTCTTTGCAAGTACCATACAGGATAATGTGTGTCGTCGTTTCAATTTATTGCATTCCATCTTTTACCAACCATGTTTAGTATCAATAATAATAATAATAATACATGTATATACAACATTTGATATAGCGCCCATTCTAGCTACTTTTATTTTTTATTGGCTACTAAAAATACGATGTGGCTACTAAATTGACTACTAAGTTTTTAAAAATGGGGAAAATCTGTATCTTTGTCCCAGAGAACGATCTGTCTACTCACGTGTGTATTGTGGCTGACACTGATTGGTTAACATAATCAGGGCCGTCACAGATCAGCATGCACTGTACGGCTGCAAGTTAAATAATGCTTTTGTTGTCTTAAGTTGTGAAGTCAATTATGAAGCTTCAGATGGTAACAGGTGTTAAAATTGGTGTACATTAATGGACAGTGGGGTCAAGTTAATTGGATGACCCATTGACGTTGAGAAAACAGTCTGATAAGCCAGTCACACATATGTGGATTTGCACACGTACATTTGGCAGTGCCGTAAGCCGATCTGATGCTGGTTACAAACACCGCATCCAACATGTATGGGTTAATATATTTAAATAAGTGTGCATGGTCTTCATTCACCTTTTCCAGTACTGTAGCAAGCATAAATGCATCTGATATACTTGATTAGATAGGCCTAGTATAATTATCGCCTTGAAACAACATGTTGAAATGCCGATTTTCGGCCTTTCAGATCACTTCAAACGAGATATCGTATTAATTTTTTTATTGCGTCAGTCACATTTAAGTGCATTACATGTTTACAAAGGTTCCTGGAGAAGAAATACAATATTAACAAGTAGTTAAGTACTAGTAGTTCATTCTAGAATAAGCTTGATACTTTCCCATTTTTGCCGGGTCTTGTTCGCTGCATTTTGAGATATCATGTAGACAGAATATTAGGGATGCAACGATTCGGGTATATCTCGATTCGATTCGAATCTCGATTTGTGACTTCCGATTCGATTAATTTCGATTCGATTATTAGCATCCAAGAAATACATGATTTTTCAAACATATTTACTAATTTAGATGAGAAGTCAGAAAAAAACCACTTTGTAAATAGGTAAAATTACTTTTACAAGTTGCAAGTTTATTGCAAAATCATATAAACATTGCAGTCATGCATCAGAGCACTGTAAACAATTAAGTCTTTGTCTACTTCTGACATATTGAAAGAAATGTATCACAAAAACTTAACACACATAATCTTTTGACCAGATAGATCCTTGACTAGAAATGAATCAATATTCACAAGTTCTTGAACAATTCTTGAAAGTTCAACTGGAATTACTATAATGTGATAACTTCACTTAAAGCAATAAAGAGTAAACACATATGCATTTAAACTACAAAGTTTTTTGCTAGGAAAATGAGCATATCAACATGTTCTGGTTTTTGTTCAGACCGACGATCGTTGTTAGCGGAAGACTCCGAACTGACCGAAGCAGCTTTATCACAGTCCACATTGTGTTTACGTTTTAGATGTGCGTTCATTGCTGTCGTCGAGCCAGCTTTGTATGACATCTTTAAATAACATATCTTGCAAATAGTGACATTTTTTTCCGTTTTTCCGTCGACGTTTGGAAACCCAAAGTGTTTCCACACGGGAGATTTATATGATGCGGGCGGGACTCCATGTTTGCAGTAGTTTGCAGTAACAGCAACGCGCAATTTGATTGGCCTACGCAAAGTGTGTTGGCCAATCAAAATCTGCGTTTTAACAGGACTAGGAGTGCGTCTAAATGTAAAGTCAAACACGGACCGAATTTGTAAGAATCGAATCGAAATATCAAGAGTTGTGAATCGAGAATCGAATCGGGAGCAAGTAATCGCGGTTCACCATAATCGCGGTGAATCGTTTCACTCCTACAGAATATAGGTCTAAATTTCTATAATTTTTATAAATATTTTACAACTTTCCCAGTCAGGGATTTTGTGGTATTTTCGCATTAAAGATATATATTTTTTAATCAGTAGTATGCATATGTTTAAACCCGTCAGTTGAACATTGTCAATAATGCCGAATAGGAAAGTAGCAGGTTTTTTCTCTAAAACAATATCATATTTTTGTAAAACCGAGTTAATAGAACATGTCCAGAGCGATTGACTATGTGTACAACCCCAAAAAAGGTGATATATTGTTTCCAATTCTCCATTACAAAAGCTGCATTCTTCATGTTCTAATAGTTTTCGCTTCAGTAGCATGGAATTTGTGAAAAAGATTCTGTGAGTGATTCTGTATTGTAAACTTTGTAATTTCAAGTCTTTTGTCTCGTAAAAGGGAAATGAGTGAATTTTTCCCCATTCGTCTTGGTTCAGAGAAATATCTAAGATAGTGTGCCACCTTTCATGGGATTGTTGCGGATAAATCAATACAGTAGACATGATTTTATTATAAAAATATTGAGACGGTTTTTCAATATTTTTCAATTTCTTTAAATTATCATGTGCAACATTATTGATATTTTTTCCATAATATCTAATCATTCTCTTCCAGCCTCTCGGTATTGCACTAACAATGCTATTAAAATTCATAAAGTTTATATTTATTTGGTATTTTTGAATGAAATCATTAAAAGACAGAAAATTTCCATTTTCATCTACTAGGTCTTTAACGTAGAAAATACCTTCATCACACATTTTTTTTTATAAAGACTGTTTGTCTATTTACTTGTATTTCTTTGTTAAACCATAGATATCGTATTAATGTACTTTCATGGTTAGACATTCTAGAATTTCAAGTGGTTGAGAAAAAATATTTAGCATCGCAGTTATGCAGTTTTTTGAACAGCAAACCGTTCAGAATGTCTTCGACGGTCGCTTATATTAGGTGCCGATGACCAAGTTACGCAATGTGATCCCGTTTTATTTCGAAGGGTTGGTCAATACCGTTATAAATTAGTTCTTTTCCTTTCAAATGTTTTCTTCTGCAATTTGCATTTGAAATGTGTGATCTTTTAAAATTACAGTGAATGTAAACCCAGGAAAAATAATTATCAATATTGCATCACTGAGGCTACTTTTGACTTGGATTTTTATTAGTTTTATCACGGACTTAGATAATCTAATTCCGTGGTTTTATTTTTAGCTTGAAGGCACAGAATTAGACTTATTGAAAGAAAATTGAAACAGGAAGGGGTCAATTTCATTTTTGAGGGGTCAATGGCCCCATGGCCCCATCCAGGATGATCCCTGAGTTGCCAAATTTGGTTAATTTCTAGTTGCAGCTTCTTGTGTCAGTTTTCACATTGCTTGGTGTTCAGAAATACTCAAAAGTTTTGTAGCCAAGCTTACTTGTTCATTATTTTCCGAATTTTTAATAATGTGCTGCCATAATACATTTTTCTTAAAGGCAAGGCTTTATATCCCTCAAAACGTCATCATGGACCCGAGAGTAATCCTCAAAGAAACAAATGACATAGCTAGTCCAGCCAAGAAGAGGAAAGGGAGAGAATCGAAATACATAAAGCAGGAGCCTGAGCAAGAAAAGGCGCAGGAAGACATTGTCGTTGTACCAGTTAGGAAAGGTCGGAAGGGGTCAAAGTGGCAGGGGTCAGGTTTCATTACAAAGAGAGGAGACCAGATATTGTCATACACCTCGCAGAACAAGATAACTTACAGGAAAGGAGGTAAGTCTGATAATAAGGGGAGTCGGGTCAGAAAGTTCATTTACAATACGACTATAGAGTGTATTCCTTGATGTATGTGGTAATATTGTAATGGTAGATATGTTGCAATATTTGTGAAGTAACATATTGCAATAAAATCTTCAATCAAATGATATCGACATGTTGTAACAATTTTTGCACTTTTTTTTGAATCAGTATTATCGAAAATAATATAAAATATTTAAAACTTACTAAATTTCTAGGAAAACAGAATATTGTGATGTATTGCAATATTGCATTATATTGTAAAATAAAAATTACTTCCAAAACCCACCCCTTCCTGTTCCTGTTCATACTTCTTATTTCATTCTATTGCTTGGTGTAATCAACACCAATACAATGCTGAAATTAAGTGCATTATATTGTAAAATAAAAATTACTTCCAAAACCCACCCCTTCCTGTTCATACTTCTTATTTCATTCTATTGCTTGGTGTAATCAACACCAATACAATGCTGAAATTAAGGAAACAGGCATAATATCATGACATTATACTGTTGCATCTAGTCATTTAAGGACAATAAATATGAATATTGAAATGTCAAAGACTTAAAAATGATCAGAAAAAACAAGTTTAATGCAAATATTCATGTATCATAATTGACATAATATGGGGGAAAGGCATATGGCAAAATGATGAGAGGGGACAGGGGCTCTATTAAGACATTTTACATTTTTAGCCTACCATCATTAAAAGTTGGGTCCCTACAAAGTAATTAATTTTGTTACACATACGATAAAAAAAAGGTTAAGACAATCACTGTTTTCATTTATTTAAAAAATATATTGAGTAAAACAATCAACATCTCTACAACTCAGCGACGTTCTGAAGTCACATACTGTATTCATAGTAATTGGCACCAAGACCACATGAAAAAAACCCTGAAAGGGGGCAGCTGATTTCATGCAAAAAGTCTGGAAAAAGGGGACGGGTGCTAATTATGCCAAATACAGTATGTGCATGGTGTCTGGACACTGTCACATGTATGTGTGGTTGTCTGCACTAGTCTTTCACAAGACACCTGGTCTTGGCGTAGGCCTGGATTCAGCTGTATCTAGGTTCATTTACATAATTATACAATAAGTTCAATTTTCTTATTCCTTTACTTTTTGTCATATTATGTACAGAAGTAATTGATATTTTATGTACAATATCAGACAGTAGTGTTCTGTTTAATCCAAGAATATGCATATTATGAAAATTATGAAATATTCCCCGATTCAAATTTTTCCTTATTTTGTTATTTTACTAATGTTGCCTGATCAATCTTCATTTACAGTGCATAGTTGTTCACGGTGAATAGGAAAAGTTATACCTTCAGGAAATTACGTAATATTGATTATTTTAGAATGGAAAAAAAGGGAGAAGTGTCCTTTATGGGTATTCAGCTTACAATACATTTTTTTTTTTTTTAATTGGATGTGAATAAAAGGGAAAAAACCCTGTCGTGAATTTAAAAGATTGTGTAACGACAAAAATGAAAGAAAATGTCAATGAGTTTCATGTGAAGTTAATTATAAAAAGTAGTGTTGATTGATGATGTAATCTGTAATTAAGGTAGGCAGTGCAGCTGTAGGGGCTGCACCCCGTTTGTCTGAGGTCCTCCTCAGACTAAACGTGTCATCTCCCCCCTACAACACCGCTCATTGGTGAAACACATTTGCATCCATTTTGGATTTGTCTTGTAAAGGTGCTGTGATATTCATTGTGTAGCGTACAACACACCTGTACATGTCTGCTGTATGGTCCAATAGAAGGAATGTTTTTCTCCTGCTTTTCAGAGGATATCCTTTTCTAATAATTGTTTGCAAGATTTGAAATGTTCTTGATTTATTTTGAAATCATTATAAATGGCCATTTTCCTGACGGGTAAGGTAGTTCTTTCCTTTCCACCTTAACGTCCTGTTTTATTATGAATCCTCAGGCTTTGTGATATATTGGTGTTTCAATGTATATGTCTGTGATACATTAGAGGTTACCCAACAAGTGATTATACATCGCTGACTGTGTAGATCAGGTTTGTCTAATTACTTGAGTAAGTTAACTTTCAAATTGTGTAATTTATATATATATATACGAAAACACAAAGTTTTCTTACTGTCTTTTACTATTTGAAAACTTACTAGATAACATGAAAACTAGCCATCACAAGTTGGGTAACCTTTTTTCTCCCATTAATATCATATATCCTATCATATGCCTAGAAAGCCATATGTTTCCATTTGGAATGCATTATTTCCATTTCCGATTGTGAAAACTTTTCCATGAATCAAGACGTCACAATGAAAGATGATGGCCCAATGCATTTTTACGCGACGTCATAAATAAAAGATTAGCCAATGAATTAGCATCTAATTAGGTGTAATCAATTAGTGGGTAACCAAACTTTTTTCCAAATTCTAGTATGATTATCTAACATGTCGGGAGTGAGGAAATCTATAATGGTTGCTGGAGAAATTGGGTGTTCCAGACTGTATACACATTATGTGATACACTGGTTTCAGGCAACAGATATGTAATATTTTGGTAGGGGTGAAATGGTACGCTTCTCGATGTAATATATTGGTAGGGGTGAATCGGTATGCTTCTCGGTTAAGTACATATTACAATGCAAGGTCAGTCTGTTCTTTTACGTTCAGTAGTGCTGCATACAGCAGAATATCTAAATGTCTACTATGGAGGCTTCTCAGTGTAAATATTTTGAATGGCCAAGGGTAGTAAGTAAATGTCTAAAACCCACATTCCTAATATCAGAATGGCTGTATGTCCTAAGTAATAAACCCTGTGATTGCCTGAGTAATTGTCTTATATTTTATATTTATTATAGGTATAAATTATAATCAGCTTATTTCTTACCCAACACTTTTGATAAATCGTTGCCTGGCCTTAGGCTTCATTAGAGTGTACAAGTTAAGTTGTTGACTTTTGTCACAAGCAGGACTGGCATCTGCAATGTATATATGTTTTCGAATCAAATGCGTATGCTAATTTGTAGTGTTTCAATCGATATAAGGGATATCCATGAGACATAATTGACAAGAATTTGCTGTAAAACCCTTTGTTTTGAAACCACAATGTTTCCAATCTGATGAATGGTAATTAAGCTACAGGAGTATCCCTCAAAATTGGTTCGTTCGATGCCATCTTCAGTTTTTCTGTCAAAACAAGGGTTCTAAGTTAGGCAATGTTTGGTTGGTTCATTAAGAGTGTTAGACCAATCAGAAATTTGCTTTTCTACAACATCTGGTGTTTTTTGCAAATTTGACAAGTCCGTGTATAGTGATGTTGTCCTCCAGTATTATTTTGTCTTGAAATAAAATGCAACCAGAAGTTAAATACAACTATACCACAGTATAGCGTTTTGAGCCTATATATTGGTGTTTCTATGTACAAGCGACACATTGATATTTCAGACTGCGTATACCTGGAGAATGTGCGTAGGGACCAGCCTTATCTTGTTTGTGGAATCAAAGACTTCAGACTGGTGAGTACAGCGTTCCACAACAATCGCATCTAATCATAATTAATATTTGTCATTGCTGTTCACTAGAAACTGTCTACTGGGTTTTCAAAAAAAAATGTAATATGAATATAAGATACGATGATAAAACACCTGTATACCCATGAGTGTTATACAGTAAAAAAAAATTCACTTTGATACTGTGATACATATTGCGGTCTTAGTTATTTAAGTTTAGTTTCTGCCATGCATGTAACATGAAGTTCACCATTCCACCATTATCATGAACCAGAGAGGTACTCTTTGGGATGTGGTTAAAATATTAAGATATATTCTAAAAAATGTAACAGAATGTTTAGAAAAATACATCAGAACCAACAGAAAATGTACATATTTCGGGTATTTCTGTGTAAATATATATTAGCATATTGCATAATGGTATTTATGTTTCAACATTTGTAAACAGAAAGTGTCAGATCGCACAGGTATATGTGTAAATGTTGACGAAGTATGTACAGATGTTACATTATTTTTATATATATCGTAGTAGTAATATTAACCATTCCAACTGATGCTGTGAATGTATTCATTGGTGTGACATTTGAAGTGAAATATGATAAATATTTATGATCATAAAATTTATCAATTCAAGTCATCATTTACTGCAAGATAAAGAATAAGTGTAGCATTTCATTCCTACCCTTTCGTAGATACTCTTTCATCCTGATTATCACATGCTGGTGAAGTGGGTTTTTATTGCCATTCAGTTGGAAGATCTAGCTTTGTTCTGTAGCAGTCTCTATGGGTTAAGCTTTTCTGAATCGAATGTGTGGTCAGCTTTAGTTTACATCAGTAAAAGAAAATTGCAAACATGATGAATGTTAATACAAATTGTTTTATCAGTTTGTCATTACGGTGAACCAGCAAATTTTTTGCTGCAGTTTTAGCTTTCACATTTTAGCATGGCAGCGAATATCAGTACACAATATACTGTATATAATTATCACCTGTGAAGGGTGAAATTAGCACAAACTTGTATGGATTTTACTGGTGAATGGCCAAAGTTTCCGGGTATACAGTTTCTATTGCATCATGTATTATATTTAAGCTGTGATGTACCTTGGTTTAATATGACAGATGACACAGTCGTAAAATGTAAGGCAGACTAAGGTATGGATGGGTACACGTAACACTTCCAATGTGTATGTTAGGTCTGTGTAAACTTGTTGTTTCTTGGGTTACCTGGGTAGGTTGTCGGAAGGAAGGGGCTGATATATACCTGGGTTGGGTGTTGGGGATGGGGAACTAGGGTTTATTGGGTTGAGTGTATTGGGAGGGGCTGATGTATACCTGGGTTGGGAGTTGAGGGATGGGACTAGGGTTACTTTGGTGGGGGTAGGGGAGAGGGCTGGGTTGGGTGTGAGGTGAGTGTGGGGTTGGGGGGACTCGTCCCCCTCCAGGTTTTTTGGGTTTGGTATATGGGGAGGGGGCTAATATTGCTAGGGTTGGGAATTTAAGGGAGGAGGTGACCTTGGAATTATGTTGCTGTATAATTCGACCATCTCTGTTTCCTGACCTTTTTAAGTATATTGCAACATCATTAGAAATTCAGTCCCATAACAAGTGAACACATATTTACAAATTCTAGCACACAGGCAAACACTAATATCCCATGCATTTAAATGTACTGGATGTATTGAACATGGTGGTCAGCCCTGATCACCTGAAATTTGAAATTAACAAAGTACTCAAATTATTTCAACCATGCAAAACGCATCTGTTGAGAGGGGGTAAATATTATCTGAAAAATAATGAAATCATTATCAGGGACTAAGTTTTGTTGAAGATTATAAGTATTGATTTCTTTTCTTTGAATTAACTGGGAGTTCTAACTGAAAAACAATATATTAAACCTTTGCATGTAAGTCTCAAGTTTCGGTAAATATATAAAGTCTGCTCTGCACTACGAGCTGATCAGCATTTTTACACATTTACTCCACATTCACATTCGAAAGTAAGGCGTACACAGAAATAGTCGCAGGCTCCTGTGTTGTCATGCTCGACACTGGCATGTGACTGCAGTAACCTTTCAGTTTTAACTAGAAAATCAAATCAAAGAACACTAAAATGCTTTAAACCAAGATAATCTCTTTAACTCGCACATCAAGATCGTTAAACTAGTCTTGCCCAATTCATTTCATAATGATATCCAATACAAACAAAATACGCCGAAGGTTTCCAAGGTGAAATGCAGCTGTGAGGAAAAAAAAAGAATAACATTGTTGTGTTTGAAAGTATGCCAAAAAAAAAGTTGGTGTAAGAAATTCATATTGTTTATGATTTCATGTTTCATGAAGGCCTGTGTCCAAATTGTACAAATTAATCTCTTATTTGCTGCTATTTCTATTTTGTTTGAGGTTGCCTCCCTTTAACTGTGTATGTACTTACTTAGTGTAGAAAAGCACTGTTTAGTGGCCATGGTATCCCTACCCTATATACAGACACATCTAAATTATGATACTATATATAAATTAGAGATATTTATGTTTATATTTGTAATATGAGGCATTATCTAAAATTTACTTCAAATGATAAAAGAATATCAATGACTTCAAATTACAAAATGATTATTTTTGTCTGGCTGCCACGAAGACTTAAGAGACTAATTAAAGCTGTGTAAGTTAAAAAGCTTTCAATTGAGATAAAAAATTAATTAAAAAAATCTGGTTTTGAGATCTTCCCCGTCTCTTCCGACTATAGTTTCTAAGGAAGTGCCGACATTTTAGTTTGTTCTTGCTTGGTAATGAGTATGGGTCTCGCTGGGTTTAAAAAGTGCATTACCTGTCAAACTAGTTATCATTCTTCAACTGACCGTCTTGCGATTCAATGCACCGCGCACCCTGATCGGCAACCGTTATCAAAAATCAAACGCACTCACCTGAAGACTTTGAAACACGGCCAATCTGTTTGTTACTTATGGCACATTCTCTAAAATTGTGTATCCAAAATAAAAGGTATATTACTGAAAATACTTCTATAAATCCCATATATATCATCGATCTTTCACGTGCATAGAACTGGACCAACACTCAAAACTTGATTATGAACTCGTAGTCTTCATCGTATTAACACTACTAGCAAAACATGTGCGAAATGCGACACTCCCAGGTGTGAAGTCAACAATGTGAAATTTGATAATTGAACCATTCTCGTGGAAATAATTGGATTAGTTTTGTTTTCACAAGGGAGGTTATAACTAGTTGGATATCTAAAAGGTAGGCATTAGCGTTCGTCGTATGTTTCCTTCTTTCATGGCCGTTTTTTTTTGGGGGGGGGGGGGGGGACAGGGATTGTGCATTATATTTAATTGGTTGTATTTTACTACTATTTCCACTTTTCTTAGATAAATCTTCATTTTTGATGTGTTCCATTTTCATTTTTTTAAACTGATCTGATACAAAATGTTGGTAAAAAATTGTAAAAGTGTTATATATGTAGTATAGTAGTGTCACCTTGCGCACACGTTGAACAAATGATATTATATAATATTATATATTATATTATATTACAATGGGGACTGGTGCTGCTGAACGATATTACAATGAGGACAGTGGTCCTGCTGACCAATATTACAATGAGGACTGGTGTCCTGCTGACCAATATTACAATGAGGACTGGTGCTGCTGACCAATATTACAATGAGGACAGTGGTCCTGCTGGCCAATATTACAATGAGGACTGGTGCTGCTGACCAATATTACAGTGAGGACAGGTGTCCTGCTGACCAATATTACAATGAGGACAGGTGTCCTGCTGGCCAATATAACAATGAGGACTGGTGCTGCTGACCAATATTACAATAAGGACTGGTGCTGCTGACCAATATTACAATGAGGACAGTGGTCCTGCTGACCAATATTACAATGAGGACTGGTGCTGCTGACCAATATTACAATGAGGACAGGTGTCCTGCTGACCAATATTACAATGAGGACAGGTGTCCTGCTGGCCAATATAACAATGAGGACTGGTGCTGCTGACCAATATTACAATAAGGACTGGTGCTGCTGACCAATATTACAATGAGGACAGTGGTCCTGCTGACCAATATTACAATGAGGACTGGTGCTGCTGACCAATATTACAATGAGGACTGGTGCTGCTGACCAATATTTCAATGAGGACTGGTGCTGCTGACCAATATTACAATGAGGACAGGTGTCCTGTTGACCAATATTACAATGAGGACTGGTGCTGCTGACCAATATTACAGTGAGGACAGGTGTCCTGCTGACCAATATTAAAATGAGGACAGTGGTCCTGATGACCAATATTACAATGAGGGCAGTGGTGCTGCTGACCAATATTCCAATGAGGACAGGTGTCCTGTTGACCAATATTACACTGAGGACAGTGGTCCTGCTGACCAATATTAAAATGAGGACAGTGGTGCTACTAACCAATATTACAATGAGGACTGATGCTGCTGACCAATATTACAGTGAGGACAGGTGTCCTGCTGGCCAATATAACAATGAGGACTGGTGCTGCTGACCAATATTACAATGAGGACAGTGGTGCTGCTGACCAATATTTAAATTGAGGACTGGTCCTGTTGCTAGTATGAGGACTATTGTCCTACTGACCAATTAATTAATATGTTAACAGCACATGTTCATTATTAATTCAGTGTTTTGTCCCTCAGACAATGATCCAAGTAGACGGCCACATCCAAACACATACGCCTCATCAAGCCTTTGTTAAGCTCAGCAAGCATTGTAACACAATGTCATTGGCTGAAGTGTCTAGTTATGGATGTAAGGAGTGATTTGATTGGCTGAAGTGTAGATTTATGGCTGTTAGGACTGTGATAATAGCTGCTAAACATCTACTTTATGGTTGTTAAACCGGGCAGATTATTGATCACCAGTGAAATGTTCATCTCACAGGAGGTGGGTTTTTTCTGTTAGAGCTTTGATGATTTCAAAGGCAACTGACTTTAAAGTTGAGCAGTAGGGTACAGT